AAAACAAAAAAAAAAAAAAAAAAAAAAAAAGATGGTTCTGGCAGATTAAATTGCTTTTTACTGGCTAAAACTTTACATTTCTTCTCCTCCTTTGTAATGTTAGGAGGGGCTGAGAGGGGTTTGTGTTAACCCTGTCTATACTGAGCTGGCTTGTTTCATTATAATTTGTAAAGTAGATTTGAACATTCCCTGTCCTAACAAAGGGTTAAAGGATTACAACACTGGCTTCTGCATTGTATGTAAATGAGAGAAACATATCCAATGCAGTCTTGTCCTTAAGTAGGGTAGACAATATGCAAATGTTGTCAGATTCTTGATGAACTGGCTGACATTCGCACAATGAATGCAGCTGTCGGCACCCCTTAATTAGAACATCGAACGTGCAAATTGGAAATTCTTAAAGCCGAACGGTGCTTGCACCCAGTGAGCTGCAGCTGCTGCCAGAGTACAATAGAAACAGTGAAGAATTTGTCACATCAATGCTGTTAAAAAGTGGATGGAGGAATCTGTTATATTTCTTTATTCAGCCTGCAAGTTGAACGAAGAAAGTATTGTAGCGCCCATCACCTTTTGTGATGTGACTACTATGCATTAAGTGATAGCCAGGGCTGTAGACAGCCTAGCTGGATTTGTAGTGGCCATTACATGGTTAATCCCAGGTGTCTAGCCTTGCCTGTACCCCCCTGGGCGGAGTGTGACTCTGTCATATTGTGGGACAGCCAATGGTGGACACTGTAATATACGTACAGTACAGCAGCCAATCACTGGGCTCCTTACAGTCAGTGGTGCCCGCTGGGATAGTGGCCTGGGGGTGGGCATAGGCTGAAGTGAGGGAAGAGGTTTTCCTGGGGCCTTCAACATGGAGGAGGCCTAAGAGATGGAAAGAGGAAAAGAACCAGGACCAGTGCTGGCTCTTGAAGTGCCCTGGATCTATGTGGAATTCAGAGCAGGGTCGGTGTTTCTTTCCTGGATTGTGGATCCGCATTGCTACATTTACAAGGTCCGGTGAGTCTGGAGCTTCTGATGGTTACCCCTAGACACCTAGAACCCCTATACCTCTCTCCCAAAGGAAGATGTTCAATAAACTGTTTCCTTAGGATTCTAACACTGAAGTGGACATCAATTTGTGGGCACCAGAAGAGGGCGGTTAGTGCTAATGGGCGCAGCTGGAAATCAACCCCTAGACCAACTAGATGTGGACCGGGCAAACAGCGGCTCCCTGCGGGAGTTATCGCTACAGTATTGTAGTGTATACCCAACTTTAGTCTTTTTGGTTAAAAAATATATTTTAATTTTTTTTTATGTTTTATGAATGAAAACACATAAAAAACATTTAGAGGGGTTTCTCAAATGTGACTGCAAAAGTGGAAATGCACTTTAAGGGTCAGATAGGTTGGGAGCTGAGAGTACAATGAAACATTTTTTATACTTATTTTTGGTTCGGAAACCTCCACAGCAAAAACTACCTGACACTAAGCTCTCTTTGTACCAAAATGGCTAACTTCTTTTTTTTTTTTTTCATTAAGTACCAAAAGCAGGAAGTGAATCTGCACTTATTTAGTAGTAACAAGGCATAAGCACCTGCATTTTCTGCAATTAGTAATTGCGTCCTTATGAATATAAGTTATAGATGAACATTAACATTTTGGTAGTGACATTTTATAAAATAGTTACTTTAATTTGTACAAATGACTGTGGAAAGATTTCTACACTATATCCAGCCTCTGTGTGTTGTGTATTTATTTATTTTCTATGAATTATGCATTTTAGGGCCTAAAAACAAGCACATCATGTCCTTATGTTTATTGTCTTGACTAATGATGGCTTATAATTGCTATGCAAACAGAAGACAGAGGAACTAAAAGGCTTTGAAGACGAGGCAAGGTTCTATCATTAAAATACATTCTCAAGAGCTGAATAAATATTTGAAAGCATTTTATAATAGAGTACCACTGTCCTCGACTGACATTTATCATAGCTCTTATGAAGCTCTGTTTCTTTAACTGCAACTTATTCCCAAAACACTTTTTCTATGCATGTAGTAATATTTTCAACAGAAAAACATTTCTTAGAGTGTAATCAGTTTTAGTTATCCTTGCTGTGATAATAATCTCAGTCTGTTCTTTTCTCCCAGTAAATGGCTGCTTACGTTTGCATATCCTTCCCTCACTTTGTTGGCTCTCAGAGCATCTTTCCCATTACTTCTTGTGTATGGCTAATCATAATGTTAGAAAAAAATGAAATATTCTGTAGAATATGCTGCTGCAGGTGTCCTTCAAGGTTAGCAATCTATATGAGGATCTAGGCTTCAGGTCACTTGATGTCTCTTGAAGGGAAATATCAGCCAGCAGAAATTACATGACTAAGTGCCTGTGGACATCACTGAATAATAGCATAATTTTCTCCAGGAATGTATGCCTGTCTATCTTTACATCTACCTACAGTATCCCAGCAGTTACTATGTAATGTTTTATTACAACTGTGTCCCTGGTAGCGAGAAATGGGATTGCAAAGAAAAAACACTGGTACCTACTCTATCCAACATTTTTGTAGATACGCTTATGTATGAAATGTATCTGTCCAAAAATTACAGTTAGCACTGTCAAAAAGCCATTGCTGTCCTGTGCACTCTGTAGCATTATCTCAAGTAATGTAATTAGAAAGTGATTTAGGCCCACAGAATGCTTCTCACCATGTTATTGGGAAGAGGAGAGGGAGGGGTGTTCATTAGTCCTAATACACTTCCTGTCCTAGGGTGGCAATGATCTTTCTTCACAGATACATTACAGTGAGTGAAGGTTGCCACTTTATGACAGGAAGTGTGTTACCAGGTAAAAAAAAAAGGAAAAAGCCTGAAATCTAATGCGGCCATCACATCTAGAGATTTATAAGCTGCAAGATATATTTTTGTTCTTGGGTTTAAATATACTTTAAGCTTCTCTGTACATACCTTAAGCTTTTTTACACTGATGCATGGATCATTGGAGAAGCTTTCAGTGTCTGCAATTTGGATATATGCAGCTTCCAGTTCACCGGTTAAGTCATTTCTCACCTGCCAGGAAATAGAAAGAAAGGGTAAATGGAAACATTGGTCACTGTTAAAGGAGAGCAGATGGACTGCATGGCATTATCTTGAGAAAGTACACAGATACAGTATGATTAATGTCTCCATTTTCTTTTTTACAGGATCCTAAAACAATTCATTGAGATCATCATAGGCAGCAGAATTATTAGCATAATAAAATGAGGCTGCTGAGAAAAATGTTTGATCTCTGTAATGTACATGATTGATTTTTATATTTTGCCAGATCCTCATCCAGCAACCTGCTAAAATTTATGTGAGCAATTTATTAATGGTAATTACAAAATGTATGCACAATGTCACTAATCGTTAGAAAATCACGGGTGGCCTTCAATTAATCTTCTGGCACATGGCCAATACCATCAAGTGCTTTGTAACAGGATTCAAAAGAGGTCATCCTGAACATGGTGATGCAGGCTGCTTTTCTGAGGACATTACCATTTAAATGACTTTTAAAACACAATTTAAAGTGTAATGAATTTGGGCAGTTATCCGCCTATTAACATTATGGATATGCAAAAGAAATGGTAATAATAACAGTGTTAAGCAATAAGTTCATTTTAGCAATGATCAGAGAGAACAATAAAAATAAACTCATAATATTACTGACTGATGAATAAAATAAAACAAAATATTAATGTGTATAGCTTATTAAAAGTACAGCTTCAAACATTTGGGCTCAGCTACACAAATGGTTTTTGGCCATTATTTTGTAACAGAAAGCAACCTGTGATTGTTAACATAGGTACAAGCATTCTTTAGCTATATGTAAAACAATGAAATTGGGTAAATATTGTAAAAGCGATTTGCACTGCCCTGGAAAGAAACTGTCGCTTACTGCCGTGCAGTTAGACTGTATATACAGTATTCACTATGCTGCTATTTTAGTTTTTTAAGTTGGTAAGTTTTCTGCAGGGTTAAAATACCCAGCACGTACCCAGACAGCAGATAATTTGACCACTGCTCTCACACAGAGCACAGCAGCCCGGTCTCCAGCAATCTGACATACGCCTCTTTATACTGCTTCAGTGAACGGTCCTCTCACTCCCTCCTGTGAAACCCCATGTCACTTTTGTATTCTGTACTGATGTGGGGGGTGGAGGGATAAACCACTGAACATAGCGGGGAAATCAGGAGACCAACAAACCTGGAAGTATAGGTTTATAGATACTTTAGAAAATGTCTCTGCACTGGAATTGTGTTCATCGCCATGGGCAACAAGAAAGGTAAGTATTTACTTGCTTCTTTGTAGGTACTCCTTTTTTAAAGTGGAAGAAAAATCAGTAAAATAAAGAAAATGCTGGCAGAAAGGGATTTGGGGCAGAAAAGACATAAAATGTCTCTTCTGCCAAAATGTTTTTTTTTCTCTCTCCCCCACCAATTTTTTATTTTCTGCGTACACTGAACAATGCATAGATCCTACAGTGTATGCATTGAACCCCTTTATGGCTTCTCAAAGATGCCAGGCAAGGCTGATTAACATAGGGCTACTGGAGCACCAGGTCCAATCCCACCACTGAAAATAGGCCCGGCTGGATTGCCTCGGTATACCCGATGGTAATACGGGCCAGCTGGGGTGAACATAATCAGGCAGAGGCATGGTGGCTCTCTAATCAGGCATATTAGGCCGCTTAGGTGTTGTGTTTTGCAAACTTGGGAGCTTTTGGAAGTTGGTTAGTCTGAGAAGGGCTAATAGCAGAGCATGTCCTGATGAAATGGTTTAATAGTGACATGCATGTAGAGGGTAAATTAATAGTATATGGTCCTCTGTTCCCTGACTTAACAATATGCAAACAAAACATGGCAAACTGACAGTACATAGCCAACAAACAGGCCAATATTACTGCTTCTCCTTCCTCCTCCAACAGACCTGTCTTTGCTGCTGCCACTGTTGTTACTACTGTGCTAACTGAGAGCAGTGACACCAAGGTCTATGCTCTTAGTCAGCTAACAGAAAGCTGGTGAATAACGATGGGGACCCAGAGATCTTACAAGCTGTCTGCCTATCCAGAATCTTTGGGCCAGATATGGCAACTTCCATGCTATGGTGATGAGAAGTGTACTACTCGCCATATGTCATCCCCCCACATAAAAACACTGTGGACAGGGCAACTGCCACTCCTGCCCTGCCTCTCCCCGTCCTGGCCCTTCTTGCAGCACATTGCAACAAACAGCAAATCACTATTATGAGGTGTGCTGCTGAAACTGCTGCATACACAATTTATTTTGGTCAATTGTGGTGTGTTAGACTATTCAAATAAATGGGCTGCCCTAATGCAGAGCACACGGGCCACAGCAGACCAGTCTTGTGTGAATGGGTCCTGAGGCTTCAGCTTTGGAGTTTATGCTCCAATCCCAGCAGACTATTTATCCAATCAGAGCACCAATAGCAGTCGCTGAGGAAAATACTGTACAGTGGACCACATAAATACAATGCATTTAAATGTAATACATGGTCTTCCCGATGTTTACTTTTATAACTACCTAAAATCTTGCTTTTAACTACAAATGATGCCTCTTACTTAATAAGTTTATCTTATAATATACTAACTTCCAAATGTAGCTAAGTTGGTTATTAATGCTTCTGGCATCTTCTGGAGTTTATGGAATCACATTCCCTCACCACAGCAACATTGTGGGAAACACTAAGTATACCATGAGCTGAGGAGACACATTATGATGTACCTGCATCAGTGTGCCTGAACTTTCTTACCATAATATTAATCTGGTTGAAAAATATGGTACCAGGGAGGAAAAGGGATCTAACAGGAGGTGATCTTTGTGCAGCCAAAATGTTGGTCACAGCCCCACACCTGGGGCGCCAAGGAGGAGATAAAAAATGTGCCCCCTGTGGCCAGATTTAGTGTTTTCTTGAAGTTAACGTTACAATAGTAGAGGTTGAGAATTTAAAAAGTAATAGGTTATGTAGCTAAGGATTAAGAAGGCTTGAATAAAAACTGCGAACTTCTGAAATTTGAAATTTAGCAGATGAATTTAATGGGGAGAAAAATAGGACTCTCTGGAACAAGTGTCATTAGTGCAGCCATGACATATCAGTAATAAGGTGGGAATAGTATTATTACACAGTTACATAGTATTTGAGGTTGAATAAAGACATTAGTCCATCAAGTCCAACCCATTAGGATCTCTTTCTAGGAGTACCTGTACCCCTGTATATTACGGTCCCTTAAGAAATCGTCCAAAAGTTTCTTGAACAATTCCACATTCTTTGCTGAAATCAGCGCCTGTGGCAGTGAGTTCCAGACCCTAACTGATCTTACTGTGAAGAACCCCCTTCGCCCCTTGTGCTGGAATTTTTTTCCACCAATTTTAGGTTATGGCCTCTAGTTTTTGTAATGGAGTTAATTTTAAACAGTTTATCGCTAATGTTGTTACCACCATTGAACATTTTGTACATGGAAATTATATCCCCCCTTAATCTCCTCACCTCCAATGTGAACATGTTTAAATTTAGTAGCCTTGTCTCGTAGCTCTGGTCCTCCATACCCCTAATTAGTTTGGTTGCCCTCCGCTGGACTTTTTCCAACTCAAGGACATCTTTTCTTAGTACTGGTGACCAGAACTGGACCGCATACTCCAGATGAGGTCGAACCAATGATCTATAAAGTGGCAAAATTATAGACTTGTCCCTGCAATACATCCCCTTCTTAATACAGGACAAGACCCTGCTAGCTTT